CAAGACTGTTTCCAACACCTTTTGAGTTAAAAGTTCTCTTCGGAAGGAAAACAAAAAGGAGACCAGTCTGCTCAGAGTCAACTCCGCCTCAATGTCCTTCCCCGCCCCCACCCAAGCAGCCGAAGCCATCCCTGTCCCCTGCTTTCGCTCCTTTGCATCACCATGTCCTCACACCTCTGGGTTTTGTCCACTTCCACTAGAGCGGGCTCCGTAAGAGCTGGGCTCTTGTCTCCTGTTCAGCACAGCTTCACTGTGCTTAAATCGGTACGGACACAGACTGGGCACTTCGTACACGTATGCGGACAATAAAACCACCACCAAGAGAAGGTACGTGGAACGTGGTCCCGGGAGGCACCAAATCACTGCGGAGCTCCCAGGTGCTCCGCTGGTTAGAAGAAACCTCTGATGGGCACCCTTGTTCCTCTAAAATTCAAAGCACCAGCCTCCAGAACCTACTCCTACTGACTTATCCAAACTAAATGTTCAAAAACCACCTTGTCACCAAGTGTGTGAACACCCACCCACTCTGGATTACTATTTTAGGAACATTCCCTGTATTTGTATCTTAGCTGCTGCAGTTTCCTCCAGATAATGTCACCGGTCACCTGCCAGGTATGTTTCAACAACCACAGAGTACTCAACATAGAACATCTCATAAATTTTTTTAAAAAGATTTATTTATCTGAGAGAGAGAGAGCGTGCGCAGGGGGAGGGGCAGAGGGAGAGGGAGAGAGAGAGAATCCTCAAGCAGACTCCCCACTGAGCGTGGAGCCTGACACAGGGCTCAGTCTCACGACCCTGAGATCATAACCTGAGCCGAATCAAGAGTCAGACACTTAATGACTAAGCCCCCCCACCAGGTGCCCCAATTATCTAAACATTTTTGAAGGGAGGAGTAATATGTCTCTTTCACCAACACAGAGATTAATGGTAATAACGTTTAGCAAACTTTTTAAGTCCATGAAGTTCACCAGAGATGGTCCAAGCGCCAATTGCCTGATCCAAACTCTGCCCCTTTCCTCTGCCCCACGGCTCAAAGTCTCATCATTCAGGCCACCTCTTCCAGGAAGCGTTCCCGGACAGCACACAGTCTCTTCTTCCCTTAGAATTTCTTAGCTGTTTTATCTTTACTGTAACAGTAAAATCACTCTCTCCTTGTATTATTGCTTCCATTTCTACACCTCTTCCCTGGGTCACGAGCTTGGTACTGTAAAGAACTATTTTTCATCTTTGTACTCTCAGTATTGAGTAGGAGCACAATGTGAATTATCAGAATTTGACAGGATTAGACATATGGGCATGGTTTGGGGAATATGAATGGAATTAAAAGCCTTTTATTTTTTTTCACTATTAACTATTTACAACTTTACTGAGGTATGCTTGACAAAAACTATCTATTTAAGGTGAACGTGATTTTTTTTAGATATGTGGACACTATGAAATGAGTACCACAATCAAGCTAATTAATGTGTCCAGCAACTCACACAGTTATGATTTTTTTTTTTTTTTTTTTTTTGGTATGATGAGAACACTTAAGGTCAATTCTGCATGTTGAGACTGAAAGGGGACAGATGAGGCTTTACCACCCGCGTTGCAGGGTTCTGGTCTCAGCCCCTGATGGCAGGCAGGGCCTTCCCTGGCCCAGCTACTACCAATATGTAAGAGATTGAAATCTCTCCAGTGATGTCCAGCAGGCTGGCTCACTGGACTCACCTCCCTCACTTAGTGCCAAGACTTGGGCTCCCCTGATTTCTCTTCCTGCTGGGGCTTTAACTGGTATCCATCAGGCAAGGTACTTGTGCATCTTCTGATAATGATTAAAACTTACTAGAGGACACTCAGCGTTGAGAAGTGTGCCAGCCAGCCTCCAAGACGGCCCCCAATGGCCCCCATCCTCCTGGAATTTACACCCTATGTAGTCCTTGCCCACGTGATACCAGTGGGTCTGTGTGACCAACAGATTACAGAAGAAGTGATGCTGGGACGCCTGGGCGGCTCAGTCGGTTAAGCGTCTGCCTTCGGCTCAGCTCATGATCTCAGGGTCCTCAGACTGAGCCCCATGTCAGGCTCCCTGCTCAGTGGGGAGTCTGCTTCTCCCTCTGCTCCTCCCCACCCCCACCCCCGCTCATGCTCTTTCTCTCTCTCTCATATAAATAAATCTTAAAAAAAAGAAAAAGAAAAAGTGATGCTGTGTCACTTCTGAGATCAGATGATAAAAGACACTGTGGCTTCCATCTTGGCTGTGTGCAGTTAAGCGCTCTCTCTCTTCTCTCTCTCTTTCTCAGGTCCTTTGCTCCAGGAGAAACCAGCAGCCCTGGGGAGAGGTCTGTGTGGCGTGGAACTAAGGCTTCTCGTCAACAGCCACGTGAGTGAGCTGGCAAGGGGGTCCTCCTACCCAGTCAAGCCTTCTGAAGAGAGCAGCCCGGGCCGACAATTTGCCACAACCTCGTCAGAGACGCTGAGCACCAGTAACATCCAGAGAAGCTGCTCCCAGGTTCCTGACCCTGAGAAACTGTGTGCGATCATAAATTTTGGTTGTTTTAAGCTGCTGAGTTTTGGGGTATGAAACCACAGATGACTAATAAAAGAAGGCAGATGTTTCTGCTTTTCCTGCATAGCCTTGGAATATACAAGAAGCGCATTCGCGTCTGTGACAACTAGGTCAGCTTTTTCCCTAGCACCTCACATGGGGCCTTAGACTGGCTAGGCAATCAATGACTATGTGATGAAGGTAAAAATTAGAATGAACAGATTGCTAGTTCAGTAGTGTAACAGAGAAAAAAATGGCAAAAGGACTATGAAGGTTCCCAGAAAAATACCAGAAGTCACTAGCTTAAAGTAGAATGCCAATGGTCACAATCAAAGCACACTTAACTTGTAGTTTTGGCAAAGTGTGAATGTACTCATGTAAATTTAAATGCCTAACTCCCTCTAAAACTCTTGCACTATTAGTAGTTAAATCTGGGGGAAGTCAAAAGTTACACATGGATTTTCAACTATACAAGAGGGTCGGTGTCCCTAACCCCCGCATTGTTCAAGGGTCAACCGAACAGGGAATCAGACACAAAAACATTTACAAAAGTGCTATTTGTAACAGCAAAACACGGAACACTAAATATCTATTAACAGTAAGCCCATAAATTCTGGGGTTATTTCTGTGGAAATCTGAGTGCCAGGCGTGCATATTGGTATCAGAATGTCACTATTCCCAGGCCCTGACAGTGGACGGAAATAGGATATGTGTGTATGTCTACACACACACACACACACACACACACACACAGCTCTACATATTTCTACATCTACATCTACTGAAAACCACGAGCCACATCAATACCTACAATCCCCACTGAACACTAAAGTTCATTCCACTGTTGTTCTCGCCACATCTGATTGTGGGAACCCCGGCTTCCGTGAGCCTTATGATATTTACTCACCTGGCCAACCTACGCCCCTGTGGGTAACTCATCTGCCGCTCGCTCTCCCACACAGATGCTCCTCGGCCCCCCTGGGCTTGGCCCTCCTCACCCTCCTCACCCTCCTCGGGCTCTGACTCTGCAGGCAGGTGGCCTCTTCTTAGGGACTCACTCTCATGCCATTTGGACTTGGACTCCACACGGATGCCCTCGACTTCTGGCCTGGGCTCGGGCTGTCATACCCCACACTGGTCTTCCCTCATGCGTTGATAACCTCAACCTGCCTCAGTTGTGACGCACCACACCGAGAGGTGCCCCGAACCCCGGCATGGGTGTACCTCTTACACCACATGGGTCACCCTTTGCATGGACTCATGCACTTGGGCTGTCCCCTCTGTGGACACCCTTCTCACCTGCTCTGGCTGTCTCACCCCAAAGCAGATCCCCCCCACCAGACACACTCACCTCACCCCACTTGGGCTCTGACTCTCGATGCCACCTTCCTCACCCTGTTTGGTCACTGATGCCCCCACACATGGACACCCTCCTCACCCCACAGGACGGAGGCCTCCCTCAACCACAGACCCCTACCCAGCTGTGCCCCACCTAATGGCTTCAGGATTGAACTGTTTAGGGAGGGGGAGGTGAAATTCTAACTGAACATTTTTAAAGAAGTTAAATGTTTTCAAAGAATATTGGTCATAGGAAAATGCTTTAAACTGTTCATTTCTTAACCTTAAAATGTGCTATACGAAGCAGAAAACGATAGATAAGAAATGAAAACATAAAGTCACTCAGGATGTAACTTGCACATCTTTGTTAACTGGCATATTTATACTCTTCTAACACATTTTCTATACACACACAAACTACATCCCTTTTTAAAAAGATGATCATTCCTGGGGGAACCTGGGTGGTGCAGTCGGTTAAGCATCTGACTCTTGGTTTCAGCTTGGGTCATGATCTCATGTTCATGAGATCAAGCCCCACACTGGGCTCCACACTCAGCAGAGTCTGCTTGGGATTCTCTCTCTCCCTCTCCCTTTGCCTCTTCCCCCGCTTACATGTGATCTCTCTCTCCCTCTCTCTAAATAAATAATCTTAAAAAAAAAAAAATGATCGTTTCTAAACGTTACTTACTTAACATAGATCCTACATATCTTTTTATGTTGGGAAATACGCATTACCACATCAATGTCCACAGCATGTTCCATTTCATGGTCTCTCCATAACTCTTTAACACTTGTCCTGCATGGCCCATTCTCAAACAATTTTTTCCAATTGCTCATTCCCAAGCAAAACTGGGAGTTGCTGCCCCAGGGGAATCAGTACTCTAAGGGCCTCTGATACAGGGTGCCCAACTCCTCCCGGGAAGAATTATCTGGGTTAAAATGGTGAGGAAATGCAGGGAGCCTCCTAAAACGTAGAGTGTCTTCAAGTCAGGAGAGACCAAAAGCCCCCCAAACACTGCCAAGAGAGCCAGGTCAGCTCCCGAGCCTGGAGGGTTGGGCTGTGGGGCCGGGGGTGGGGTGGGGAGCAAGCTCTAAGCTCTGGGTCTCTTTGAGGAAGGAAAGTTCCACTCACCTGTGCACAGGTCTTCAGGGGCTCTGGGGGCTTCTCATCCTGCTCTTCCATGCTCTCCTCCAGGCATAGGCAGAGGCCTGAGGGTCCTGAGCCACAAGGGTAGAAGCCCTTAGAAGACCATCCTGGCGCAGGTCCACCGTGGCGCCCCCCTCCTTGGATTAGTCTCCACTTCCAGGATGCATTCCCCGTGGCAAGCTTGCCTCTAGAGGTTTCTACCTGAAAAGCTGTGCATGCACCTAGAGTCCCTCAGTCCCTCTCCCAGGCCAAGACTCTGCAGCTCCAACCTGGTGCCTCTCCACTACCCAGGGCGCCCCTCGGGTCCCCAAGACTCTGCAGCTCCAACCTGGTGCCCCCACTACTATCACAGGCCTCTGGACCCCCTAACTATAAGTCATGCCCAAACACAGCCTTCTGCCCACCACCAAAATCTGCAGTACACGTCAGTCACTCCCTGCCCCACTGGGTTGTGGAATCCTCACAAATGCCCAGCACATTGAGGACCCCCTAGTGTGCACTCCTCCCCCACCATGACCTCAATCTGCAGCCCTAAACCAGCACCCCTTCCTTGGGCAAGGAGCTGGGCTTCTGGGATTGACCTCCCAGAATCACACTCCCTGACTGAATGCATGAAGCTCGTGACACAGCCCCAACCCTCCCAGGATCCGACCCCTCCATTAACCTGGCCTGCCCCTCTCGCAACCTGTCATGAATCGCCTCCCACTTCCTGCTCAAATAACCAAGCATATTCATGGAGCTTGGCTGCACCATTCTGCGGTCTACTGGCCCCTACCAGAACAGCACCAGCTGGATCCCCAGCCGCAAACCCTCCTGAGCCCCGAACATGTAGCTGAGACCTGGTCCCTCCACCAACATGGGTATCCTCAGGCCTGAATCAGCAACAGAGCCGGCATGGGCCTGGGAGCTTCCTGACAAACCCCAGCACGTGCCACCCCCTCTGAGGCCCAGAACGTGGACCTCGGCTGTCTTTGTGCCAGCTCAATATTTCTGGGTGTGAGACTAGAACAGCCCCTGGCAAATCCGAGCCCACACACCATCTTACCAACCCTACCCCATCCTCTCCCTCTTACCCACACCCCCTTACCCCACCGGATTCTCACTCCAACAGTACAGTGTGGGTTCACAATGCAGCTGTGTCCTGAACTTGCACACACACCATTTCCTCAACCAACATCCATAGGCCCCTACTTGAGCCACACCTGCCCAAATGTCCTTCTGGGCACCTGCTGCTTAGGAAGATCCTGTCTTCCCACCAACCTGGGTACCGCCAGGCTGTGATTAATGCACCCTCTGCACAAAGACCCCAGTACCCTCTAATTCCCACCTCCAGCCTCCTGTTTCCCATCCAAATACCTGTATGTGTGCACAAGGGGACATGGAGCAGCCCTAATCCTCTGCAGCCCCGAATCTGCAGGTGCTCCCTCCACTCACTTGGGCATCCTCAGGCAGTACCAGGGTCCTAGGACTGCCCATGTCTCCCCATTCTGCCCAAATGCCAGGTGTCCCAAGACCAGAACCTGCAGCTCCAGCAGCGACTGCCCCAGGCCGCCCACCTAGGTTCCCTCCTCCTGCTGGCACAACACAGAGCAGGCTCACTCCCAGAATCTGCACCCAGGACCTGGGCCTTCCACCAGCCCGAGAGTACTGTGCAGTCCCTGCTCCTGAGATGAGAAGCTGCATCTCCCACTCTTTACCTCAATACCCGAGATACCTCAAGTACCCACAAGCCTCTGGAGGATTCTAGGGTCACCTGCCCCACTGCCTGCTCACACACCAGAATATCAGAACACCCAAACAGTAGCTTGAGCAAAGAATTCCAGAGTCAGCCCCGGGACTTGAGCACTCACTATCTGGGGGGTTCTCAAGCTCACAACCGAGCAGCTCCCATGGGAACCAGGCCCTTTTGCTTCCTCCAGTCCAAATGTGAGCCCCTGAATGCCAGAGTACAGCCCCCTCCAGGTCCAAATCTGCAGCCCAGACTCTGTCTCCCAGTCCCTGGGCATTCTCGTGCCTGCAAGCAGAGCAGCCCCTGAGCAAAGGTCTTGAGAATGCCTACTTTGAGATCATGCTCGCAGCACCCTGCTTCCTTACCAAAGAGCTGTCAATTTCATTGCAGCTCTCTTCTTCCTGGACGCCAATTCTGCACCTCCAATCCAAAGTCTCCACCAAACCTGAATGCCCTAGCGCCTGGCGCTATCCCAGGATTACCAGTCCAAATTCCTGCTTCCCATTCAAACACCCCCAGCACGTGCAGGGAGCGGTCTGCCCAGAACCCACCTCCCGGCCCTGGTCCCTCCTTCAACCTAGGAGTCTGCAGCCCATCAATGATCCTCAGAGGGTTCGCTCAAGCAGCACTGCCTCTTCTGGAGCAAGAATCAGCAGCTCAAACCTGGTCTCTCCACTACCCAGGGCGCCCCTCGCGTCCCCAAGCCAATCGCCCAGAATCTGACCTCCCACCCCATGCTTCCTACTCAAACGCCTGCTCAAAATACAGGCATAGTGGCAGAGCCCCTCTCCTCCAAATCTGCTGTTGAGTACTCCATCAACCCGGGCTTCAGTCCTCTGAGCCTGCACTAAACCGGCCTGGCATTGGAGGAGGGGAAGGCGGGGTTCTCAGGATCTCCCCACATCCCTGCATATGGCCTGTCTTCACCAACCCGGGCATTCTCAGGCCTGGGACAAGAGCACTACCCGATCAAGCACTCGCGCAGGCCCTCAGTCCCGAATCTGCAGCTGCACCAGTATCTCCACCTACTTCGGGGACCCAAGGCTAAAGAGCCCCCCGCGAAGGTCCCAGGTCGCCCACCCAACACTCCCAACCCCAGGTTCCCGCCTATACCCTGCGCATGCGCGCACGGAACACCCAGCGCCGCCCCGCCCCTCACCGACCTCGGCGTCCACGGGCTCGCGGCCGAGGCCGGGCCTGTCCCAGCTTCAGGGCCCGGCACGGCTCTGCGGCAGGACGAGGTCGGGTTAAGCAACCCCCGGCGCCGATTCTGCACACTACAGACTCGGGTAAAGTTAGTTCGGTCCCCCTCCCCTAGTCGGCATCCGCAGGGCCGCTCGGCTGATGTCCGAGCCCAGGTGCGCGGCGACTGCAGGCACCAGCGCGCGCGGGACAATGGCTGCGTTTCTGGCCGAACCCGGAAGTGCGTTTGGGGTCGGTGAGCCGGGACTACAATTCCCAGAAGCCTCAGCGGCGCCGGCGGCGATTAGGCGGGAGTCCAGCTCCTCCCGGAGGCGAGCGTGGGGATTACGGCCAGACGCGCCCGGTTGGGGTAGCTGCTGGGGGCTGTGACCGTGTGTGCCCGAGTTTTTGCGGGGCGCCGAGACGAGGAGCAGGACCTGGAGGTCCAGGTCTGGGCCCCGATGCGTAGGCAGTGGCTAACTTGGGAAAGGCTGGCCTGGGTCCGACTGGACGCCCAGGAGCGGCCGTGGAAACGGGATCCGATGAAAGGGCAGGGGGCGCCTGGGTGGCTCAGTTGGTTAAGCGACTGCCTTCGGCTCAGGTCATGATCCTTGAATCCCGGGATCGAGTCCCGCATCGGGCTCCCTGCTCGGCAGGGAGCCTGCTTCTCCCTCTGACCCTACCCCCTCTCATGTGCTTTCTCTCATTCTCTCTCAAATAAATAAATAAAATTAAAAAAAAAAAAAAAAAGAAAGGGCGGGGACCCTTCCGGGGCGCCCGCTGCTGTCAGACGCTTCGCGCGCGCGGTTTCCTTTTTGGTCCTCGAGCCCAAAGATAGTGGCTACAAGCCCGCTACACAGTCCAGGGAGCTCCTGTCAAGTCCTTCAAGAATCTGACTTGCTGATATGTTTTTGTAGCTCATGATAGTAAAATAGCAAGAATCCTTTTTTTTTTTTTTAATTGAGTTCTTTCTCTGCCTATAAGGCTTTAAGGGTCAGTTCTCTATCCCTCCCCTCCGCTTTTTGCCTCATCTCCTGACCATTTTTCTCTCTCAGTTCCAGCCACGCTGGCCTTTCCACCTTCTCCAGCAACTCCCTTAGGCTCCCACCTCGGGACCTTTGCATGTGTTGTTCATGCTGGCCGGCAGGCTCTTACTTTGAGGATTCCCCTGGATTCCAGCCATCTAGTCTTTAGGCAGATGTCACTTTGTCATAAGGCATTCCCCCATCAACCGTTGTAAACTCGCAAACAAACCCTTCACTCCCCACGTACTCCCTGCTTCCCTCATCTTTATTCTCTAGAGAACTTTTCACTAACAATCATATGTTGTAGGTATTTATTTGGTCTGTTACCTGCTTTCACCACTAGACTGTCAACTCCATGAGGGAAAGGATTTGTATCCACCCTGATCAGTGCCGTATCCCCAGCATCCTAGGGTACCTGGCACATAATAGATGCTCAGTAAATACTTGGTTTTGAATAAATAAAGGTTCTTGGCCCTTTGTTAAACACCTTAACATCTCGTTAATTGGTGCAATCACCCTGTGAGAAAACAGTGATGTTTATTTCCACCCCACCAGGGAGAAGCTGATAATTGGGGCCCTGCTGTATGAAAATATGGCATTTTAAAGGTTTTCTTTTTTATTGCTGTCAAAATACTCCCGTAGTTTTCTTAACATAACTTCTAACTTTTAACAACAAATTATTGCTATTTGAAATGTAATCTCTACCCCCCAAATTTCTTATGATTGGTTATTGTGGTTCATTTTTTATTTTTTTAAAGATTTTTACTTGAGAGCATGCACGTGCACACGCGTGTGCGAGAAAGTGAGAGAGAGAGAGAGAGAGAGAGAGAGAGAGGGGCAGACTCCCTGCTTAGCAGAGAGCCCAACACGGGGCTCGATCCCTGGACCCCAAGGTCATGACCTGAGCTGAAGGTAGATGCTTAACTGACTGAGCCACCCTGGTGCCCCCGAAATGTTAGGAATTCTTACAGTATTTCCTTTGATACTCTTGGCTTTTCTAGTGAGACAATCATCTACAGATAATTATTTCATCTCTTCCTTGCCAATATTTTTAACCAGATATTTCCTTGCATTTGGATTGTGTCGGCTATCATTTTCACAACAGTATCAGTAGAAGTGACATTCTTGCTTGTGTTCTCTTTTTAATGGGCATCCCTCTAACGTTGAGGGTTAAATATAGTTGTTTTTTAAATGCAAGTAGGCAACTTACTGGGTTTTTTTAACTTTTTGTTACATAAATTTCTAGCATGAAAGTAGAGAGACTAGTTAAAGGGCACCCCCTTTGGCCTGTCATGCAACTTAATTTTCCACTGGATCTTTTCTCATCTCTAGCCCCACCTGTGCTTTCCAGGGTCCTCCTCCTCCAGTGGTTTTGAAGCAAATCCTACACATTATTTCATTTCATCTGTAAGTGTTTCAGTATGTGCTCGAAAAACAGGGACTGGTTTTAAAAACAAAACTTCAGTACAAAATAGATATGCATCATGGGGCACCTGGGTGGCTCAGTCGGTTGAGCATCCAACTCTTGATTTCAGCTCAGGTCTTGATCTCAGGGTCATGGGACCCAGCCTCAGATCTGGCTCCACGCCCAGTGGAGATCCTCTCTCTCCCTCTGCCCCTCCCCACCCACTAGGATGCTCTCTCTCTCAAAAAAACATAAGCGTCATACCGTTAGGCACAGAGAACACAAAATTACTATGATTAGCAGATATGATTACAAACCACAAGACCCAAGAGAATTAACTAAAAGAAATGAACATCAAAGAGAGACTAGAAAGGCATCGAATGTGAAACAGATAATGGTAAATATTTATGTACCACTCTGTGCCAGGTACCGCTGTAACATCCTTATAAACGTTTCTCACTTAGTCCTCATAGTAATTCATACAAGATTGGACTGTTATTTCCATTTTACGAAAGATGACATTGAGGCCCAGAGGTGTTAAGTAACTTACCCTGGATTGTATTGTGAGGGCAGAGCTGGGATTGAGTCCAAGAAGTCTGATGCTAGAGTTCATGATCTTAACTCTTACATTATATTGCCCCTTGCCCACCTATCAATATCTTTCCTCTACATAAGCAATACTAAGTTTGCAAACAAGACAGGACAGTTTATATTTATTCATAATAGAAGCCAAAAAAAAAAAGGAAGCATAAGAAGAAATCTTCAAAACCCCAATAAGAGACATAAAAGACACAGAATCGCCATACAAGCTGTGTTGTAAAGATGTAAAATATTGCAGAATGATCTACAGATTCAGTATGCAAATATGACAAAATCATGATAGGATGCTTTGACCATGAGCTCATCTTCCCCTTTTTTCTGTACTTTTTCCATTTTTTAAAAAATGTAAGATATTCAGACATTAACGCATTAGTAATATATGATTTAAAATTGACTTCGCCTTTTGTTTGCTCTTCTTTTCTTCTTCTTTCAAAATGAACAAGATGGTAAGTTTTACTTCCAGGAGCACCCAAATCCTGACCTAACCTGAATGTTACAGAGACTTCAGAAGAGTTACTACTGAGGAACAGGAACTCATTCTAGGGAGATGCTCATCAAACCCGCAGGTTTCTCTATCAGCCAAGTTTCATATTGAGGTTCTATTGGCCAGAATTTGGGTGAGGACACAACACGTACTGAGAAACAAGAAGGTCATGAATCCATTTGCTCTAAATGCTGGATGATAAAGGCAAGAGTCACTAGAGGGGGAGTATAACCTGTCCCTGGGATACTGGGGGGTGGCAGGTTCTTGGCAGTGGGGAGGAAAAAAGACAGTCCTTTTCCTTTGCTCAAGCCTCTTCTCAAACTATAAACATTGGAGGGACCCAAGGCTTAGTTATTAGCCCCTAATCTTCTCTGTCTTTATCCACTTTCTTTGCAATCTGTAGGGGAACGGGTGAACTCAACAGGTGTAGGGTATTCAAACCCAAGAAGGGCCTATTTCCATGACTAGCTCTTGGTTAGCTTCTAGGAACTGAGCTCTTGTAATGTTCTATCCGATAAAGGGTTTTTGCAGGCCTGAGGCCTTGAGCCATGCTGTACCAGCTTGTCCATAGTTTATACAAACAACATACTCTATGGTGAACACCAACTTTTCTTCTATAGGGGTCTGGAGCTTCAGTGACAGATCAGTCTTACAGTATATGCCCATGTGACTGACTTCCTATAAAAACCCTGAACACTCAGGTTCAGGGTGAGCTTCCCAGGTTGGCAACCCCTCACAAGTGTTGTCATACATCATTGCTGGGGAATTCTCCGGTGACTCTACTGAGAAAGGATGCTGGAAGTTTGCGTGTAGTGTCCTCCAGACTTCACCCCATGCACCTTTCCCTTTGCTGACTTTATTCTCTCTCTTTTTGCTATAATAAACCACAACCATGAGTATAACAACTTCTGGGTCCTTTGAATCCTTCTAGCAAATCATTGAGCCTGAGGCTGGTCTTGGAGAACCCTGACACAAGATCTCCTACAGCCTCATAACTTTAAACCCCACCAACAACTCCCAGATGTTTATCTCTCCTACCCTGTTCTATCTAGACATTTATGAACAACTGCCTGTTTTATTCTCCAGCTAATCTATTTTTGACATGCCTAAAGCAAATTCTTGATTTTCCTTCTTTATCCCGAATGTGCTCCTCCCTCATCGTTGCCTCAGAAAGTGGCCAGCCAGTCATCCAGGTGCTCTGGCCAGAAAGGAGTCCTTGACTCCTCACTCTGTCTTCACCAAATCTGACTCTCACCACCTCCACCCGCAAATCCCTTGGGATTCTAAGCATCTTGCATCTGCTCCTCCCCCAGGTGCCTCAGTCTCTCGTGTCATTCTGTTTTTTCCTGTCATCTTCTCTTAATAGCTCCTGTCTCTCATCCTCTGCCAT